TGATGCATATCCAAGTAGAGCTTGACATTTATTAATTGCTTCAAATGTTCACACCAGAAAATTTGAGGATTGTTGCTAGCGAAGTCATCAGATTTGCTTCCTAAGCAATCTAGAAAGAGCAGTGCTGCCGGGTCAGCAGTCCACGTTTTCACCAACTTTCCTTAATTTACATGGAAAAACACATCCATTTCCATACATAGCATGTCAACAGGTGGGTTTTTTTTTTTTGAAGGCAATAAAATAAGTCTCAGACCAACAAAACTCTTCAGGTATAACTCCAATTTTAATTGTCAAGCTAACTTCTAGCTCCTACATTCAATGCAAGGATCAAAAACTACAAGTTCGAGAGCAGAAGTTTATTCTATCCCCAGTTTCTGATCGTTTTGGCAGCTGTCAAAAGGTAACTTCCAAAATCCACTCATTTCAGAAGCTTTTCACTACCTCATGGTTCCAGGTGAACATCATGGACTCTCTCATCAGCATCTTTCAAACCCAGTTCTTTGGCAACAGTTATACATAGCATTGTGCGTATATAAAGAGCTTATACTAAAACTTCTTTTACATTCTAATTGTCTTAACCTTCACAGAAGTATTAAAGTGCTCAAACAACTCTGAACAAACTCTCCTTCCCTTGTCAGCCCACTTCCTGGAAACGCCTGCACTTAGGTCAGCAAAACCAGAAGCAAACAAGAAGATAAAAGGTTCTTGTATGAAAAAAATCCTCTGCAGGATCATTACAACCCCTTAAGAGCTAAAAGGCCCCAAAGTCCCACTTCTCCCCTCTGTATTCAGAGAAATGTTCAACCAGTCTAAGCCAGCACAACTTCTTTTCCTGAGTTGTGCTGATTTCCCATCAGTTGGTTCTTTGGCCTCTTGACTTCTGTAGAAAGAAAACTCTGCAAAACAGAATCCTATCCATGCTACAAAGAAAATACGAACACTGAAGTCATACTGGCAAAGCAACAGCAATAGAAGATATAAACAAGGGTCACGATGGATATTTAACCCTTCAGTTATCTGGATTTTAAATCATCTCAGCAACTTTTGATACTGTCTGAAACGGATGTTTTCTAAGAGGCTTTAAATGGGGACATTTTTTGTCCTTATGAGTGGGGGGATGGAAAGTACATCTGAAAACTATTTCCTCTGGCAAGACCTGCATGCCAGTTCACCCCACCATGCTTTGCACTGGAGAAAATTTCATCTGGGACCTCTGCTCTTCCTCAGAGAGGACCACAGCCACATTCCCTTGGGCACGTCCTCTCCTTCCTCCAGCCACTGCACCCACAATATGATTTAAACCAGCCCACAGGGTGACTTCTTCCTGCCAAGAGCTGAGACACCAGAAATGCAACCCCAGGACACGTGTGGTTCATAGCTTACTCAACCCAGAGGATGACACTTCTGATTATAGTTTGGGTTAAATCTTTTTATGTCCGTGGGAAAAGCATATTATTTAGGCATCATCAGGCCTTTGCACTCCCTTTCTTACAACAGGTACTGAACTGTCTGCTGTCACCTGCTCTTTTTCTGTTGACTGAAGATCAGACATACTTTCACCACCTCCACCTTTGCACTGCCCCAAAATCCTGTTTGCAGACTGTTTGCCCCCCTGTTTCTACACATAGACCTCAGTGACAGCTATTAGTGATCTCACCTCAAAAATGACCCAAAAGCCAGAAAAAATTGTGGTCAGAAACCATGCATGGATTTATATGTGCTGTCATGCCGCCTACCAGCCATGGCATGAGTTACCCCTGTTGCCTCCAAGACTGAAAGCCAAATGCGTGGCACGACCTGCTTTGACGGACTGGGGTGGTCATCGTGACCCTGAGACTTCTCAGCAAGAAGTTGGTTGGTGCAAAATGAAGGTCAGGAGATGCTGTTTTGCTCACTAAGCTGAGGGCTTTTCCCTGCTTTGGGAGATATTAGCCATGGCCATGTTCTTGGGACCACTTCTCCTCCATCAAGTATCAATACAAAGACAAAGCATTTCATAAGAAAATAAAAATTTAGGTTTTTTTCTTAAATTTTAAAGCCATAGTGCAAATATACCAAACCTTCAAGTGGCTTGAGTCTGGCTTAATCTCAGCATAGGAGCTTTTTACTCAATGCCTTCCTCCCTCATTACAGAGCTGGTCTTCCTCATCATGCAAAGGAACACCCAATCAGTAGGGCATGCGTTGATAAAAACCCTGCACCATTTACTGGGCAAGCAATTGGTAGGAAACACCTCTGTGCTACCAATATATTTGCATTTCATTTCCTGTGACCCTTCTTCCCTCATTTCTGCTGTTTTGAAAGTTTGTTATCTTCAGAGGTCCACATTTTTCTTAACACTTTACCCGTGATGGGTAGCGTGCAGCAAAGGGCAACACTGAACTAAAGGGCAGCTTGTTTCACAGTACTCCAACTAAGAAAACTGGCCATAGTACAAGCAAAATTAAATAAACTGAAATATAAAAGACAGCAGAAGTTAGATTAATCCAGAAATATAATATAATGTCTGGGAGTGGGGGAAACTGGAGCCCAGCTACAAAACGGAAACAATGAAATGACCAACAAATATCGATTAGGTGAAAGAGGAAAACTTTCATTGCATGCCGTACATTAAAATTAAATGCAAAATTCACATGTTGGAGCATCAAGACAGAATGATGAAGGGCTCAAGCCGTGGGGAAAAGAAAGCAAAAGAACACCTTGAATAAAGCAACACATGAACAAAACCAGTAACTGAGCAGCTTCAAAAGGAAAAAAGTGACGGTATCTCAAATGAGAAAAAGCAGCACTGAAGCAGAGAACAAGTATATTGTCAAGACATCGTGGGTAACACTGACTGCACAAAACACTTCTGATATTTTGAAAGAATCAGGCCTATTTGTATATCTATGCAAAATATATACAGAAATCCATATGTATATATGTACACATAGGCACTACTGTACATATGTATATGCAATCATTAACACAACCGCCCTTCGACAAGGTTCAGCATCTGAATCTGGGTGCAAGCAAGACTGTTGCTGTTGTGCAAAACTACACTTGTGTTTGATTATCAAGAAGTAATGGTAGAAAGATCCAAAATAATTCCCAAATAGCTTAGACCCAGATGCAGTTTCATCAACATCACCATACGAGCCCAACCTCTGAACATTTCCAGCTCATTTGTAGGAATTAAATATTTATCCAAAGCTGTGGATTGTATCAGTACAAATTATATCTATTTCCAACCCTGCTAATCTGAAGAGATGGCCAGACACCTCTCCTGACATCAGTGGTTTAGCATGAGGCCATGCCACCCAGAATACCAATTTGGGAATACTGGATGTATGGGAAACTGAATTTAAAGGCCAGAACAGGACTGTCATTCTGTAAAAGAAGGGTCAGTTGCTGTCCTTATAGTGTTTTGGAAGAAAGGGATGTGGTGCATAAAAAAAAAAAGATTCCTTGGTTTGAGGGGTGGTGGAAAACACACGACAACTCAGAAAACGCATGCTCCAACCATAGGGACATGCTGATCTTTGGGGTTTCCAGTTTTGGGATGTGGAAAGTAGCATTTCCATCAAGCTTGCTCGCCTCACAGCTCCAAAGAACATTGGCCTTCCCAAGTCCAAGGCTGTTTTGGTCTGACACTTCAACGCTCAATTGGTCTTTGATATGTGTGCATTACCAATGCCATATTAGAGCAGAAATAAAGTGGTGAAAGAAAGAACTGCAGATAGATTGTTCTACGCCTCGGCAAAGCCGCCTTCCAACTTCGAAAGAGCTGTCCTCGCTGCTCTGGGTGGAGGACCTCAATTAATGCTCTGCATCCATAGCATCCAAGTACTTGGCTTCGATGATCCTCGGGAGCAGGTTATACCTAAGATTGAAGCAGAGAGATTGCATTAGTGCTTGTTTTTATTCATCTAACGTTTTATTTGTCCCAAGACTCTCACAGTTGAGTTTGTCCGTGGCCACGTATACTGGTTTCCACTGGATCACGGAGACAGTAATTCCCTTACTTTTGTTTGTTTGCAAGAACATCCTCATGAATTAACATATTTGGATGAGAGAGGCAAGACACTGTAACAATATGCTCTGAAGTTGCTCTCATTAAATCCTGCTGCATATTTAGTTTGACACTTTTCCTTGCTTAACAAGGAAGTTATTCTTCAGCTCTTGAAGGGCACAAAGCACTAGGAAAGCCAGTTTAAGACTTGGAAGAGCCTTTGCAATACCCACACAAGAAATCCCAAACAGCACTTACTACTCGAGAAGTTCCAGGATCTGCTTAACTAGACCTGTCATGAATTAAAGTTCTTGAGAGCCAAGGGAGCACAGATAAGCATCACAGAGAACGCAGAAAGAAGATCCTTCCTCTGTGAGTGACCTTAAGCTCAGTACTCCCCAGAGCAGGAATTAGAGTGTAACCAAAAACCAGTCACCCCAAAGCTCTGAATCAAAGCCAGGAACTGGGGATACCCAAAGAGATCACATTTTCTCCCAACAGGCTGTTCTCTACTGCAATAATGAGAAGCCATTGAAATCCCTTATCTTTCACATTAACACTGCACCAGTGGACAAATATGAACTCTCACCACTGGCAATGCAAGTCATGTGTCTAATGCTGTCGGACAGATGGAAGTGTGGCCTTGAGACAAGTAACATGGCTGATTTTCTGGATGGGACACTCAACCATGACTTACTCATCCGAGTTTGATTCTTGACTTTGACCCCTGGCTACTCTCCCATCTTCTTTTCCTCTTTTTTTTTTTTTTTTAAGAAGGGAGAAAATTATTTATTTTCTTCTACTCTGTCTCATCGACTTAAGAGTGCCAAATCTTTGTAAAAATTTAGTCATTAACAACAGAGCTCATGCATCATATCACAGAATGGGTTTGGGTTGGAAGGGACCTTAGAGATCAGAGTTCCAACCCCCCTGCCATGGGCAGGGACACCTCCCACCAGCCCAGGTTGCTCAAAGCCTCATCCAGCCTGGCCTTGAACCCCTCCAGGGATGGGGCATCCACAGCTTCTCTGGGCACCCTGGGCCACTGCCTCACCCCCCGCACAGGAAAACATTTCTTCCCAATATCTCAGCTCAATCTCCCCTCTTGCAGCTTCAAACCGTTCCCCTCGTCCTGTCCCTGCACCCCCTGATCCAGAGCCCCCCCATCTCTCCTGTAGCCCCCTTTCAGCACTGGAAGCTGCTCAAAGGTCTCCCTGAAACCTTCTCTACGTGAAGGCAAAATAAATCGGAGAAAGGAAATAAAAAAGCAAAATTTGTGCCAGGCAGCACCACATTCCCCTTAGCAGCAGTGCTGATCATTCAACTGCTAGAAAAAGCTGCTCTGGAAAGAGAAACAAATTAGCAACAGAGCTAGTATAAGATGACAGTGTCTTATTTACTCAAAAGAAGATATATTTGCACCACAAAATTATCTAGTTCTTATTAGAAATATTGGGTTCTTTGACACAGCACACTCTCCACACTAATTTAGCTTATTATACTACATACTTGAATGTTTGGCAAAGAGGATTCCACATTTTCTTTTCTGCATTGAGCTGCTCTGTGCGGAGACTTGCAATTCCCACAAGAGTCAATCATCCAGCTCTGCACACTGTTGAAGCATTTACCATCCACTTCACCAGTCATCCAAAGTGACGCCTATGTGAAGGCTGGCTGAGAGACTCTTACCAGAGGAACAATAATTTCAGTGTTTTCCAAGATTTTATTTATCTTTAAAAATCCAGCCCAAATAGCTCTAACCAGATCTTCTTGAAAGCCACAGTAGTTTTGACATTTGCTTTTGTTTTGGAAAGAACTGGACCCATCTTTATCACCCAAGGAAAACACAACAATAGCTGCCTCTGCAGATGATCGCATTGGTAGCCCTGAACTTTAAGCTCAGACAGAAAATCTCTGAGGCTACAAGATCAAAGTCAACCAGATATCACTGGATGCCATGCTGGCCTAAAAATAATCAAGAGGACTGGAAACAGATCTGTTCCTTCCAAGATCTTATTATGGCTTCTCATTATATCCAAAGGATGGAGAACATGAATGATTTAAGTGGAGAATGATGGGCAGTCACTGTTAATGAACATTAAAGAAAAAATTAGTTAAGTTTCTCAATGATTCTCTCTCAAGACTGCAAGATATTGTCAGGTCCTCCCAGTTTTAAAGGTACATTTTAAGACTAACTGGGGACACAGTTTGACCTAACAAATTGTTTGTGGTGGCATTCAGCAGTGCAGGAGGTCTGTAAGGTTATCAGAGCACCAGATAAGAGATAAGGATGTCTCGCAGGAAAAGTTTCTAGTTCGCTCTGAGCACAAACCTTAGGAAATCAAATTGCAAAGCAATAAGGAACGTTATCAAATGCCTAGAGGGAAAGCTTAGATTGCAGCTTCTTGCGAAGATCAGCCATCTCGCAAACTGCAAAAGGAGACTTGTTTGCCTCTCTTTGAGAAAAGCACCTGCCAGCCCAGAACCCTTTGCACAACACCCAGCATCAGTGAAATCATGGGCTCTGTGCCCTATCCCTCCTCAAGCCTAGCAGCTGGTGAAGAGAAGAGGTCATCATCACCCACTTCCAGGATCTGGCTGCTCAGCAAAATACCAGATGCTCTTCTAAACCACTCAGACTTCCTGCAGTCTAAGACTGAAGACAAAAAGTCATAGGAGGCAGGAAAGAAAAAAAAAAAAAAAAGACGACATCCAAGCTTTGCCTGGAAGAGCTTCGTACCTGATAGGGATCATCCCTATCATGATGAGCGGGAAGATCATCTTCATGTAGGGCAACGGTGACATGCCGAAACCACAGAGGATGAGGAGCTGCAGGACCTGCAAGCCTGTGAAATAGTGGATCTTCCTCTGGGGCACTCTGCGGATGTAATGCGTTGGAGGATAAGCAGTCTGGGAAGAGAAGAATTATACGTTAGGTATGCAGCAACCTGGACTTGTGACTGCAGAATGTGGCCCAAGCTTTTCAGCACAAGGGTTTTAAGGAAATCATCAATTTACGCACACAGAATGCATTGACATCAGAGTCCTTAACAGGTTCAACAGCTGAACACAGAATTCGTAGGGTTAAAGTGCCTTAAACCACAAAGCATTGGCAGCAACACCCAGAAGATGACTGGGCACTTGAAAGACACACAGCCAGCTACGATTGCCTTTGGGAGCATCTGGAGTGCAATAAACTATCCTGATAAGTACGGTAATGAGATTCCCTGAGCAGGATTATCAGGGCTTTGCAGCAACACGTGAAGTGCCTGTGGGGGTGTGCAAGGGGGTGATGGTAAGCAGATGCGGGATGGTTTCTCCACCTGAAACCCAGCTCCTCGTTATTTTATAGTGTTCTGACCTCTACTAATCAGGCTCCATGCTTGCCCCTGGTGGTCCCATTTCTTGGCTGAACCCCCGTAGGGGAAGACCAGGAGATGAGACTGGGGAAGTGTGGGAAGCACCTGTACTTTGACTGCAATCATTTTCTCAACTCATAAAAACTATTCATTTTTGAGAAAAAAAAAAGAGAAAATGACATTAATAGGCTAAATACTGCTCGTGGTTTCTTTTGACAGTTACTTGCTCATGTCTGAGCACAGGCTTTGACTCACTGTCTATATATCAATGAAGAGCATGAGCGACTGTCTGCTGGCACCGATACAGAGTCAATGGATTTCAGATTGTGCCATGACTCATTAAAACATTTCCAGAAAATGGGAGATCTCCATATTTGAGAATACTTTTTTCATTTTCCAAACCGAAGCTTGGAAAATTCCACATGTAATTGGGACTAAAACCAGAAGTAATATTCCACGTACATCAGTGACTATTCAATCCTCATTCAAAAATTGACATGACAAATATAATCCTTACCCGGATTTCACAGTTTTAACCTCTGGGATGTAATATTAAAGATGAAAATAGATTAGCAGAGATAGAGCCAAATGTTGGGCTTATTAAGCCCTTGACCCTTGTTACATAAGAGAAGGTGAGCTGGAGACTCTCTGTTACTCCCAGGTACCGCCTACACTGCAAACTAACACCTTCTTAGCCCTTGTGATACAGAGGGCTTGAGAACGCATCTTCCAGATTTTTCAGCCCACATCAGAAGGGTTTCAATAATGCATGTCATTTCATTTTGAGTTGAAAAACCTATCTCGTGGTATTTCACACAAGTCACAATGAAAGTGTAAAATACAGCAAAATAATGACCTGTTGTAAAGCTTTGCTGGGGAAATCAGAGATCACCATTTACTGACACTGTGCATGTGTTTTTTAGTAATTTGTAAATTATTTTAAAAAAAAATGCATGTGCTCTGCAGCTGACACAACATCTCAGTGGGTTTTTGAAGCTTACAAACGCCCTATACTCAGCGAGCAACAGTTTGTGCAATAGTTTTTTTTTTTTTTTTAAAAGATATTGTTTGAATGGATTTTTGGTTTGCACTCTACACAGTTCAGAGGGTATGTTCACTGGTAGCAGCTATCCTGGCTCCATCCATGCACTTGTCTTTGCCTCTGAAGAACTGGTCTCCAGAGCAATTCTTAGCAAACTGAAAAGAGAACGATTATATCCGAGACATCGCTCTGAACAAGAAAGCTAAAATACTTCTGTGGCAGGGAAACGCAGAAAGTAATTTATGCAGAATTTGAAAGACAGATGAGATGCAGTACAATTCTATGAACAACTCAGCTACTGCCTTTTTTTTTAACCCAACAATAACCATGCCACTTTTGTTGTCTGACACCGCATTGCTCTCCCGCTCATTTGTTCGTTTTAATAGAAAGACTTCTCTTGCTCCTGTCTCAGGAGCAGCCAGGCTAAACTAGAGACATCAAGTTCCACTCCCTCTTTGCAGAGAAAGGTGAAAGGGAAACGCACAAAGCGCAGGTTGGAGCTGGAAGTCAACCTCCTGAGCACATGAGTTTTAGGGGTCATTCCCTTCCCAACACCAGCAGCTTTTCACATGAGCTCCTGGCACAGCTTAGTGCTGAGGTTGTAAAATACAATTTCTTTCTCTGGTGCCCCAGTCTCTGTACCTGTTCTTTGAGCAGGAGAGCCACTCTTTCAAAGAGCTGGTTCCCATCAATGGAGGTCAGTGCGATGTAGAGGAAGAGCCCGTAGAGGACTGGCTTTGGGATCCACTGGAGAGGGAATGGGAGGAGAAGAAGCGAGAGGCCAACCAAGAAGTTTGCCACTAGACTTGTCAACCGTGTCTCCTTCACGCTCACAATCCTGAAAGCAAGAAAAGAGGGATTAGGGGAGTAGGATGATACCCCAGTACCCATGTAGGGTTATTGCTGGGGCTCAGTGCTCTGTGTAGGTGCAGGACACGTGCTGCTCGGGAAGGGGAAACTCATCTCCACGGCACTGAGCTCAGCACTTCTGGCCCCGTGCTGACACTGAGAAGGCAGAGCTCTGCTGGAGCCGGGCCAGGCACTTAATCCACAGTTCAAACAGAGCAGCTGGAAAAATGCCAAATTCTCCTTCTGCGAAGCTCCACAGATCCTACCCTGAACTAAACTGCCCTCTAAACGAGTTCTGTTTAGCACACGGCAAAAAAAACCAAACCCAAACAACCCAACTAGGCAAGAATACTCTTTCTGGGCAGTAATCCCTTCCTCGATTTACCCAGTGCATATGCAACTGGCTTTTGGCCAAAATAAAACTCATTGACTTCTACGGGAACTAATGAACCTCTTGTGGAAAAAAAAAAAAAAGTCTGCACTCTTGACTGCGAGTCAGCATTTTTGATGTATATGAGGATCTCCGTGTTTACATGGAAGGGAATGCTGAGAGCACTACACAGGGAGCTAGAAATTTAATTCTGCTGTGGATAATAGCAACTGCACTGCAAATTGCCTATTACCATGCAAAACATGTAATTAATTAATGCAAATTTTCCAGAGCTGACAGACCACAGATTGATTTCTTTTTTTTTTTAAATAGGGGAAAAAGACTGACAGGAAAGCATGCAGCAACTTTCAGAGCCTACTGGGGGGGTGTAAGGGAGGGTTGCTTTGTTTTCTTTTCACTTCAAGTAAACCTGTGAGCGCTCAAAGAAAAAAAGAAAATTGCTTTGCAGTGAATTATTTTTATATTAAGTTTTTGAGAGACTTACTTATAAGTAAGGTCAGGTTGAAATTTAAATCTGTTTATACATTCAGGAGTATAATGAAGCTGTGGAGACGATGGAGCCTTCCACACCTGTATTTTTTTGTAACAGCCCAAGTCTTGCTCTCAGGGTTTGGATGACATGGCAGAATTAACACAAGTGATCACAAGACATAAGGAACAGCAGATATCACAAACAGTACACAAAATCCTGAGGACAACGCTGGAATTCCATGGTGAGCAATGGGGCAGGTCATACATACTATCCAGGATTACCAAGAGAGGATGCACAGAAGAGACACAGGAGGTGTTAACCTCTAAGTGACCTCTCCTCCTCTGGCCAGGTTTAAAGAGCAGAAGCCACAGCTTTCCTCCTTCAAACAGATTTTGGTCAAACTGTCTTGCAAGTCTCTTATGTCAAGAGGTCCCTAGAGAAACCCAGGAAGAGCAGAACACTTCTCTCCACTCCTATCCGGAGACTGCTTCTGCCAGCTCCAGAAGAATGGAGACATCACCTGTGTGGATATAGTTTAGCATCCTTTTCACCACCTCCAGGTCTGGACCACTACAGAACAGAAATCTTGGAGACAACAGAGCCAAACAGCCTGAAGTATAACTGCAAGTGCTAATTCAGAATGATTTCATAGTCCCATAAGGAGTGGTCAGACCACCTAGAGCTCCCGCTATGAGCCTCTGAAGCAGCCCAGTAAAGCAGGAGTGACAGGATGCACTAAATGATTTAGCCTCATCCAGGTACAGCAAGAGTTCTCCTGGCTTCATCATTGGGCAAGGTACAGAAAGAGCATTTCTGTTATTTCAGGCAAAAATCAACCCCTCTTGCGACCTGCAAGAGTCAGTCTGAGCATGGACAAGTCTGCTAGGTTCCTGGCAAGTGAAGTCATGCAAACCAAAGTGCTCAAGATCAAAATTAGATATGAAACCACCGCTTTTCAATCAGATGCAAGTCTGCAGGGACAAGAACAGCTCAGAATAGCACCCTTTGGTAATAGATTTGTGAAGTTCATGAAATTTTCTGCCTGTCGTCTCTTGGGGATGAAGCAATCAGAGCACTGGAGAGTGTTTGATCACATACAAGATGTACTGCAAAACTGCTACTGTCAGCTCCTCCTAATACCACTTCAAGTAGTTTGGAATTTCTTATCAGAACAAGTTAAAATTGCTCATAATTGACCAAACTTGAGATGTTGAAAGCTGAAGTTCCCAGCCTCAGCTGGTCCCAGAAGACCAGTCTTGGTCTTCTGCCAATTCTAGCACATTTCTTACTTCCAGGGTGAGGACATCAAGAACAGTCACATTAAGTCAACAGAAGAAACTGTAATTTGCATGCCCTAAGAAACTGGTTTGGCCCTTGAGGAAACAGCTCCAGAAAGCCTGTGCTGCAGTGAAGTAATTAATGGAGATTAGAGCATAATCCAGGCTCAGTTCCCCAGAATCCTTTAAATACAGCTAGCATGGGATTAGCCATTCCCGACCTCCTCCATATGAGGAATGAGAACCTATTTGCAGGTTGCCACATGAAACTCAAGTGGTTACTCTACAGGGGAGAAGAAAAATTTAGCCTTTACTGTGACAGATCTTTATTCTTGTTTATATCATCCTCACTAAGAGCTTTGATTTGAGTGCAGGAAGGGAACCTGCTAAGAGACCCAGTGCTGAAAGAACTCCTGATTTTCTAATTGAGGTTTAGTATGTTCCTTTTTCAGTAGGGCTAAGAGAAAAAGAAAAAAAAGGCAACATTGCTCAGAGTCTCCTGTTTGTAGCTCAATACCTTGCAGAGAGCAAAGCTTCAGTCTCAAAGGGAGTTCAAATAACCAGGAAATCCTCGATCCCTTCTTCACTCCCAATATCCAGTTCACAGCACTCATTTACGTCCCAATTTGCCTCTGGCAGAGGAAGAGCTGCGGGGGAACACGCTTAGCAAGATCAGGGCATCCCTCAGCTCTTTCAGGATAATCACTGGAGCCCTATCTAGGTCAGCGTGGCCTCAGAAGCCTCTGTGATGCTCTTTGAGAGGAGCTGGGTGAAGGAGCAGAGGACAAGGGCAGAAACTAGTCCTTAATTCAAGCACAGAACTGGACTTTGTGAAGGAGAAGCCAGAGTGTAGAATAAAGACTCTGTCAAAACAGGAAAAAAGCCACCAGGAATTAAAACTGACAGAAGACGACACAGGAGGGAGGCTTGGCACATGGATTTCAAAGTGTAAATTCTGCATCTCTCAAAGAAATGGAGAGAAGAGGTATCCCAGAGCAGATCACGGACACCAGGAACAAGGGCCTGGATTAAAACACTCCAGAACTCAAATTACAGAGTTGCTTTTTTTGAAATAGGGACTCAAGACAGATATAGTTGTGAGAACACCTAACACCAACACATACTAATGGGAATATGAGCCCAAGGGATGGATTTCCTAGGAAAGGTCTGCAAAAGCATTGCAAGAAGCAGCAGAACTCAGCAATTTCCAGATGTGGGACGTGAAATCTGTCCATCACCGACCCAAAAAGCCACTGTGCCAGGCTGGGATGGATCAGCTGGCACCAAGAACAGCGTGAAGGCGAGATTGTAATTAAAAGACAGACCCACTTCATCCCCCAAAGTAAATGACCACTTAGCCTCACTTTTGATAAATGACTACTCTGAAAATGGAAACTGAGACAGGATAATTAAAACTAATGGCATGTGAGTGGAAATTACCACTTCTGAGGCAAAAGCACTCAACTGTAACATACTGAGATCAAACAGACCAGATAATCTCTGTTCTGGAGCAACTTTCATGAGAAATTAGCTTTTTAATTTTTTTAAAAAAATATGTCTGTGATAAGAGCGCATTGGAGAACTTGGAACAGCCAAAAAGCTTGTCTTAAATAGAGAGCCGTGACCTGGGCACGGCTTCACGGTTGCTTTTGCTTAAAACCAAAAAAATTTATTAAGCATCTCGCCTTCCCGAAACGTGGCGGAAGATGCTATGGGAGCTCTGAAATAATGCTGCATTTTTCCTGCCCTTCGTAATAACCACCAGACAGGCTTCAGTCAGTGAATCAGACCGGATTTTTTCTGATGAAGACAACTGGAAAGATCTGGCCAAAGCATATCTCAGCTTTCCACAGGGATAAATCTAAAAAAGGCTTTGGTCGGTTCTTCCAGCAGACAACTTGCACTGGAGCAGGTTGAGTCCCTGCAGGCTGCTGCCCACCACTGACAAGAGCATAAATTCGTGGCTGCCCTAAAACAAGGCTTTGAGCAACCTGGGCTAGTGGAAGGTGTCCCTGCCTATGGCAGGGGGGTTGGAACTCAGTGATCTTGAGGATCCTTTCCAACCCAAACCTTTCTGTGATTCTAAGTGCTTTGGTGAGGGGGGATGAAGCCAGGTCACAGGCTATGCAGGCTGAGGTGGCTTCATTTAGTGCATCTCCTTTCTACCTTCCCATCTTGAAGGTCTTCAAAACAACAGCTAGCTCCCCAACCGCGTCTCATTGTACCTAAAGTATTATGAAACACCAAATGAAACCAAAGAGCTCTGCGGTTCCTACTTACGTCTCATAGATGTGTCCATTTTCAACCCTCTCCTCCACGTAGGCCAGGGCGCGGACGTGCATTGGGGAGTGAGGGAAGGCAGCATGGATCCACGGGAGGCCGAAGACTGATAACCCTGTGTTAATCAGTGCAACGAGCAGGAGGTCCCAGTGGTAAGCTGTTCCCTTCACCAACCTGAAATGAGTTTTTACGTTGACAGCAGTTCCACACTGTGTGAACTGTAACAGGCTGCCCTTGCTGAACCCGAGCTCGAATGCTAAACATCAAAGTGCACTTCCACGCACAGAGTGATTTCACACTCCTCCTGCTTTACAGCCTGGGTTACATGAACACGAAAGGTAATGCAACTTGATAGTTTGCTCCCAAAGCAGTCATCTCCTGGAAAGAACCATACTGAGCAAAAAAGGCAACCCACTAAAATAACAGCCCATGAAAATTTCGTCAGCGTTTTGCTGCTACATTTATTGCAGAGTCCACTCAAAATATACATACATGCCTACTAGCAGAGTCCATGTGGTTAAAAACCTGGGCACAGGTTACCAAACTACCGACACTGAAGTTTCCCTACTAATTTTTAACCCTGATCTCTCTCCTTCCCCATGAGCAGAACATGTGCGTGGTATGCTGCAGTAATCCCCAATTATGTAATTGCTACTGCACAATACGAAAATAGGACATGAATTCATTAAACTTCAGCTCCTCCTTGGTAGTCAGCCAAGGAGATACGCTCCTAACTTTGGTGAACACAGGGGAGCCTCCCTGTTTTGTTACAGGAGGAGGAAACTGGCAGCCTTCACCAAGGAAGCTGCCCACTTCACTTTGCAAGGACTATACAGCCAGCAGCTGCTAACACTCAACTCGCATCTAGCTCAACCTTGACATTTTTTGCAAAGGTCTGCCCCTTTCCTGAATACACCCATGCTCAGATGCCACGAGTAAAGTTTAGAAAAAGGCTGGGGAAGGATTCAGCTCTCAGATTTTGATACCTAAAGGTCTATAGAAGTGTTTCTGCTTGGCCATCAGAGCAGACAGCAGCGTTCACCCTTGCACAACACAAGGGATCAGCTGAATTGCTCTCCAAGCACCATTAACTGGAAAAAGAGCACAATTTACATGTCCTAATGCACCCAAGCAAGCTTAGTTCAGTACCTAAACAGAGACTTGGAAGACATCTGAGATGTTCTATTACACAAGACACACAGAGGTAGCAGACACAACCCAGCACGTGTACAAGATCTATGCTTGATGGCTATCTCAAACAGCAGCAGATGCTGTCGTCTGGATGGCAGAAATCTTAGGTAGGGTTCAGTTTTGGAACATAAAGACTCATCTCATTGTAAGTGCTCACCTCCATTGACTGAGAAGGCCAGGGGGTGTCTAGGGCAGGTAGATGTCTACACTGCAATGCTTCTGAAGATGGAAGGTGGGATTGTAAATACACTTCCTTTGTTGGCTCACTCTCACTTTGAAAGCACATCCTCTGCTCATGTGCTGCTTTCTCAGATCAAAGGCATCTACAGCATCACCAGCATTACCATCTGATCGTCCTGTCTGCCCTTTTCAGGGGGCTTTCTATGTAACAAAGGCCATAGATCTAACAGGAGCGCATCATTTGTCCCCTTGGGACACCGTTTGGTCTGAGCAGTCTTGCAGCACTGTGTGTGGTATTCACCTGCTTTGACTGATGGATAGGCTCCACTGAGCTCATCTAGCTCAATGCACGGAGATCTAGATACTTTATCCTGAGTTACCTTCACACTGCCCAACCAGCCCAGTGTTCCTTGCTTTGCTTTGATTATTGTTCACCAAACCACATCAGGGTACTTTCAGGCAAGCAACATCTTTTCCCTGCTTTTTTTTTTTTTTTTTTTCCTCTACATGAGAAAATCACCACATTTGGCAAGACACCAAACAGCATGATCTCCATTTGTCTGGTATAGATGATGGTATTTTTAGTCTATGATGGTACCACAAACAGAAGGTGTTAAGTTCTAGTTTTTTCCATCCCTAAAAACCCATGAACCTATACCTGATCAGCATAAGCTCAGCCCTGTAACAATGCATCATGAAAAACACTATGAAGAACTCCAACAAATATTTTACATTCCTTAAAGAGACCCTTGTGGAAAACACCAAAAATTTAGAAGAAACTCATTTTAGGAAAAAGAGATGACCCACTTACGTTACAGATTTATGCAACACTTTAAAGGGATGTAATAAAGATAAGAGGAAAAATCAAGCGGTGAAAGAAAACCAAATTAGTGTAACTGAATTTGAGCCTGTCTCCTCTCTCCTCATTCAGTGTCACTCCAGCTACAACATGGAGAATGCTAATGTATGTTATACAAGGAGAGAACCCTCCCACGCATTACATTAGCAAAAAATCCTCTGAGACATGGTGGTTTCCCTGGAAAAGTCTCATACACACTCATTCTTGATATTATATCTGATTGCAGTTGGCACAAAAACATCAGAGGGAATATTTTCATAGCGCAACATCTCAATTCAAGTTTGCACATAAATCAGACCTATCAGAGATACTGTTTTACTTCCCTTCCACCTTTTCAGTTGGAGACTAGCAGGTTCAAACACTTCTGGTCTCAGCTGCAATGTATCATGCTACATTTGTGCAGGTCATTGACTTTTCATTTTCAAAAAACTCTATTCTGCAAGAGCAGTGCAAGTGTTCACATGAGTCAGCCACTCCCTAAATATTTGGAGGTAAAACCACAGACCTCAAACCATAACAAAATGTCTACATAACATTGCCCACGTGGGCAAAGAATAAACAGGCTGAGGTGATGAGCTCATTGATGCTTTGCATTTTTGACTCACTGCCATCACATCATGTTTTGGGGATGGTGAGGAGTTGAGCAGTAGTGTTACTTTCATCTACGACAACAGAAGTTCTGAAGAACATGTCCTGAACATCTTTTTTCTGATATTCAGACAAGCTTTGGACAAGCAGTGCTGGGAAGAGACTCAAGGACATCCCTCCAGAGAGGAAGAGAAGCATTACCTGTTCTCTGGTGCGTTTGTGAGCGAGGCCACAATGTTCTGCTCTATGAAGAAGAGCATCGACAGGAGGAAACCCAGCCCCATGGCACTCATCACTGACCCGATGGAGAGGGACTGGACCGGGGCCAGCACGAACAAGCTCGCAGATGGGTTGTAGTTAAATTTGGACACTAGAAAGAAGAGAAGCATGATGTTAGGAGGCACCTTCTTGTCCGACCATCCACATGGACTCAATGTTTTACCTACATGACAAACTATAGGGAACCAATGCAGCAAACCAGGAGTGATGCTCTGGCATATGGGAGCCAGAAGACCATAGAAGATGAGCTCATCTGGCTGTCTGAGTTTATTTTTTTTCCTCCATCTTCTTATAACTTGGCTGCCACCCTGATTTGACAATTACTGCTAATTCTAGGGAGGCATTACATATATTTAAACAAAATAAAAGAGGGCAACTTGTTTTCCACAGATGCGAAGCATTTTCAGATTAGAAAACCTTATTTCTAACTAGCAGTATACTCCTCCTGCTCAGTTAATCAACTGACAGAGGCAGTTTAGAACTTCCTCATATCCAACAAGCTGCTACTTTCCTGCCATTGGAAGAAATCCATGACTAGGGATAAATCACACATGGCCACGCATAATTTTACAATCCAGTTGGATGGAATGGCCATCACAGAAAAAAAAAAAAGCCATTTCTTATTTGTTTCCATACATTTCCTCACATCACCCACTCACGTCATCACAGGACAATGCAATTCCTGTCCCCATTATCGCTTCCTGATACGGAAAAGCTGATCTATTTGGCCAATGAATGGTGTCTCATTTTTAGATTTCCTTGTATTACTTAGAACTGCCCAGATGCTCCACACCATTTCATCTAAATTAAAAAAACATGGAGACAAAGAGGGCAGACTGGGATCATCAACTCTATGTCTGTACGACTGGCAACAGCCCTTCCTGCCTGCTACTTACTGTGCCCTTTGAACTTTGCCAGAAATTGTTGATTGTCTTTATTGTAAGAAATATATACTTTAAATTATATTGAAATGAAAAGACACTGGAATAATTTATCTAGAGAAAAAAAACTTCATTTGGCCTAATTTGATTAGGGTTTTGAATGAATTAAATCTAATACTGAAGAAATCTGAGCTCTTGGGGTAGTGGGAGGAACACATGGTATTTGTGAAATTACAAGGAAGAATTTTGCTATCTTTGAGCAAAACCTTCCTGGGATTTCTTTTTTTTTTTGTACATTCTAAATAGCTTCCACCAATATTCTACAGAATAAAAATATAACTTACTTTCGATATCCTTGAAGATATAGGAACCCACAACAGAGAAAGTCAGAACTGAAATCGGTAAGGCACAATCAGACAGAATTTCACGTACTCTTGCATGCAAATATGGGCTGCAATTTAAAGACAAAAAATTTCCATCAACACCACACTGTAGGGACAATCGGTCAATCCAGATAGCATTAAATGCTTTAGCAAGTGAAAATTCAGTCCAATCTTGCAATTCTAAAGAGATACTTGGAGTGAAGAATTATCCTTTAATTCAGCCCTAAATCCTCTGGAATCTATAGCCTTTGAAGGTTGATGAATGCATAAGCAAAACCCACAAGAAAGAAGAAACTAATATGCAAGCTAGAAAAAAGTCGTCCAAGCACCAATTTGTGTCTCATTTCTACTTTAGTTTAATTGCTTACTCAAACACTTCAAATAAAGAGTTTTAAGGGCAATGGGAGCAAAACCCAAATTGGAGCTGGACATTTGATTCCCAAGAGCACATTAAAGGTACCCTCACAGTAGACCTTCCAGTACCATCAGGGATTTTTGCCCCCCACAAATGGCTCAATGCTTATTTGGGGGGAGTTGCAGGAGTTCCAACATGAAATACATGGTTCACCCAAGGCTTTCTGAAAAGTCACTTGCAACGCCAAACCAAATACGGAAGGGCATCATCCAGTGACCGAACATTGTGTTCTGCTGCTAACATTTTCCAGGTGGCCAGCCAAGTTCACAATCTCTGGCTTTGGCTTCCACTGCCACTAATGGAAGAGTTCCACCTGATTTTTCTGGGTTACAAAATTAAGATCTAATCCATTCGCGATTCCTCGCAGGTAATATGAAATAATCAGTAGTCTGAGCTCTAAATAACTCACCTTTTCTTAAACTGATAGAGCGTATGACCAAGCCAAAGGGTACCCAACATCAACATGAGACTAAGGACGGCAGTTTCACGTCCATAATGCACATCATGCGTGCCTGTTTGATTCTCTAGGGATATGGATCTGCTCACTGATGAATTCATCAAGAAGGTGGTATTGATGCCGAGGCTTGGAATAGCATCAGTTCGTGCTTTTTCCAAGTAACTGTCTCCTGTGCGCCCATGGTAGTAATATTTCTTAAAAACTGTACAAACAACCAACAGGCAAGCATTAGGATAGGTTTGTGACAAAGCAAGTCAAATAAAGTGGTTCTTTCTTGCTTGATCATGCAGTATTAACATTATGCTTCACCAGGTTTACAGCTCTACCCCTTAAACCAGTGAAAAGAAATCAGGAGAGCTGCTTCTCTTATAAAGCCAGCACTCTACAAATTTATTTTTTACTTATTTTAACAGGTAAAAGTTCAATTGATCTAAAGCAACAACATTTGAACTGTAACGACTTCCAGTATTAATTATTTACATGATTTTGTTCCTAGGACTAGAATCACTGCTCATATATATATATACACACACACATATATGTATTTATGTATGAAAAGACATCTACTTTCAGCAGCGTGGTAAACAAATTCCATCAGGATGTCTGAAAAAATTAAGAGCAGCCAGGCTGCACAGATCCTTAAGGGAAGTACAAAATGTGCAGTAATTACTTTTCCTCCAAGGTTTGCCCAGATTTTAAGGATAAGTGTTGACGATATGCACAACCTGGCAGAACATTTACATTTACACTGCAAATCGAAGTAGAGTTACAGAGCACCTGAAGTAAACCCGTACACGTGAAACACCCAGCAACACCTCTAGAACTGCCCATAAGTGTATTAGGTGAGCTCAGAGGCATTTCTAGAAGAAGTTAACAGTTATAAATAAATTTTTGCTCTTGAGCATTTAGACAGCTGTGTTTCCATTTCTATGGCAGTGGCTTTCTTGAAGCATATAATTGTGGTGTTGGGATGTTTTCACCTCCTTTGGGAACAAGAGCTTGAGGTGTCACAAAGAAGAGGTAAAAAGAGAAGATGGGAGTTGCAGTGTTACTCCCATGTTATGTGATCGGACGGCAGCAGGCAGGACCCGCTCTCCCCCATACCAATGGGGAGATACAGGAGGATGGAAACCACCACGTCAGACCTTTGCAGTCCCTCTACCCTTCTTTGCTTTAGTCAAAGTGCTCCTTCAAACTTTGCATAGGGAAACCAAAAAGTTTAGGGCAAGACCATCCTCTCTAGACAAAAAAAATACAACAATCTGAAGCTTAGATTATAATGCTCCTTATAAGATTTCCCTCTACTCCCAAATAATCATCAAGTTTATGAAAACCCCAAGCACCTCAGCTCAACTCTAAGTATTTGAGAAAACAAACTTTAAACGTTCTTGCAAAGCATAATTGATATTTGCAACCACCTTGAATTTGGCCAAAGTACAGTGTTTGTTACTGCTGGTTTGGAGCGCACCCCAGTGTAAAATGTCCCATGGTTAGCCATTATGCCATTTTAATAGCAGAAATCATCTTTCCTGTACCAACTTTATGTTTTAAAAGGAGTTTGGACATTTAACAAGTAGATGGGGTCAATGGGGTATGAAGTGAAAAGACTGACCAGTTACTTCTCATTCAATACATCTATATATAAAATCATAGAAGGTTTCCAGTTCAAGATTTAACCTTGCAATTTGCTCTCAGCAGCAGCCAGAATGAGGAGGTCATCGCACTTTTAAAGTATGAGAAAGGTTCCCCCAGTAAGGAGCAATCTCATAACAGCCTCCATTAGCACTGTGTATTTCTGCATCGCGTGCGGAAGAGGCTTTGCTATCATTTCCTCCCTCCATCCTCACAGCTGTGTCCAGCCCAGGCAGGACACCTACGCCTGCTTTGCAAACAGGGAAACTGAGGCACGGAGCACTGCCATGACCCTCACACCGGCACAGAACAGGTTGTTGGAGGATTGGCAGTTTCCGGCTCTGATAAAGGACACTTTTGTCGTAACAGAAATAATTATGGCAGTATTTCCTGGGGATTAGCAACTGGCCAGGGCTAAAAGCCTGCTCACCATCTCATCTGACCTTAAGCATTACCAAATCCTGGACACATGCATAATTATTGGACATATATAAACATATTTAGCACATACAACTCAGCAACTATACAGAAGGTATTTGCATGCCTGCATACTTAGATTTGGACTCAAAAAAATAAGAAACAGGTTATTTTTTTGGGGGTCTTGTGGATTTTCTCAATTTCTCACACTTGGCTAGATTGCAATAATATATTTAGGGCTGAGCACACCTTTGGTGCACTGCGTTCAGCCTGGCTGCATCTCAGGCTGCAATTCAGTTTGCACCTACCTCTAAAACTAGGTAGGATTGCCTCACTTAACCCTGGAAATAGGAGAAGAAACTTGGTCTTTACTTTTATATTTTAGTTAAAGCAATGAGAACATTCCAAGATGGCTAGCAGAAACCTTCACCCTGCACCGCAGACTTACTATAAAGTATTTGATTCCTGCAGATTTATAGTTTGTTTTTATAATGGAGGTAAGTGGATCTTATCAAATTCAGAGAGAGTAGCCAAGCAGGTGGTGCCCTCGCTGAAACAGAGCCACTCTCAAGCCTAGTACACGCTCAAGTTCCCTCCAACAACATTAACTGGCTTTGGTTCAGCTGGTTCACCACCGTTTCCTGCAGAGTGCAAATGTCAAGATCAAACAAACACAGCTTGGGTGTCTGGGCCACTCGGCAAAAACAAAGTGTCACCGGGATAGCCTGAACACACACGGCTTGGTTCCTCTGTACAGTATCACATCCCTCCCCCCTTCTTTCCTGCACATGTACAGCCACCTTGTTAAAAAAAAAAAAATCAAGGCTATGAACAGACTGAGGAAAACATATCTGAGCAAGAGCAGGACATTCCCTGGCACTAAGGAAGCCCAAAGTCACTGTCAGCTGGCTAGCTGTCACCAGGACACATTTAACAGCCTAGTACCAGCTTTCTCTTCATACTTAACTGCTCAGCTGAGGCTTTGAGCAAAAAAAAAAAAAAAAAACCAAAAAAACCAAAACCAACCTCAAAACAAAACAAGAGTGCAAGAAAGATGAGCATGCAGCCATGAGCTGCACTGGTGTCATGTGTTTAAATAGGACCACTGACAGGGTTAAGGATAAAGTCTGTGCCTGCCACCATTGGTGCCCTTCTGCATCTGGGGATGTGGCAGGACCTGGGGTCCCATCTGTTGAATGCTCCCAGATGCAGCTCAAGCCAACACATGCTGGCAACTGAGTGTTGGTTTGATTTTATTACTGTTGCTCCTATAAACTCAGTCCTTCTTAAGTACAGGGGAGAATTAGACTAATTCACTAATGACACCGATTAACTTCCACAATCCTCTCCTGTCCCCACTGCAATACTCAGAGGTATTGCATATTCCTCAAAGTCTGGCAGCTGAGATCAATGGATGCTTTCTGCATCCTTAACCTGAACCCCATTCCCCTGCCACAGGAAATCAGCTCTCTACTCCAGAAGCCCTGTGAACATTTGCATTTGCTAATTTTTACAGAAAAGTCCAATATTGTCTTGAGGAACACCTTAGCGCCACAGGGTAACGATCTCATGCCTCCAGGCCAGGGCACTAACAGCACACATTAAGCAAAGCTCACAGTTACATAGTGAGCAAGGAGAAAGCAAAGTATCCCAGAACAGCTTCTCCTTCACTGAGCTTTGGCTAAGCAGGATATTTGAAAGATGCAGGTGTTCTGTAGATGAAAAAAAAAAAAAACCCTCTGATTGCACAATCAAACATATGCCCAAGGAGCCAAATGAAGGATTCCCAATGAAGCGAGGAAATATCTCACTTCAAATTCCTTTGCAGTGTCAAACCTGCTCTTTGAAGGTGTTTTCCTTGCATGCAGGATATCAAATGAGCCAAGCCTGAGGATTTTAAAAACAAGGGATGTGCTCTGTGTGGTTAGGTATGTCTTGAAGGATTTCAGGAGATAGCCCAAACTTGGGGCTGCTGGACAATAGCTCATAACAAACAAGGAATGTAGACTTGGCCAACTCTTCACTAGGATCAATAGAAAGGTTGCCAACCACATGGCACTTCTGCCAATATCTTTCACCTTCAGAAATACCTCCTGCCAATCCTGATCAGGAGGAAGAAAGGTGCCAGATAAATTTGTTAAACCCCAAAGCTGCTCATGGATGCACACCTAGGACTTAACCCAGAGATGGGGACCAAGTGGCTGGAAAGGGCAGGACAGCTTTTGGAGCATGATGTAAGACCCTGCAGTCCTTATGCTGCCACTAAAGAAGGGTCCTGGAGCCCATGTAAGAATGGGTAATCTCAACCCATCTTTTGACTCACCACCGTGTAGTTTTAATAACACGGCAAGGAAAGAGGTTTAGATGCACTGAGCTTAAATTGGACTTTTTTTTTTTTGGCCAGGACCAAAGAAACTAGTACCGGAAGACTTTCACAGCAACATTAATAAGATATCTCCATTTGTTAAGATACTAATCATATCTCAACTAACTGAAATTTTATGCTGATAGAAATGCTGCACATCCAGGTAAACTGCTGACACAGGGCTGCTTCAATCTCACACGCTCTCTTTTTTTTCCCTGAAGACCCTGAATGAACATGGAACAAGTAAACATCATGTGTATTTGCAGCCTTGTATTTCCCTTTGACAAGGAAGCAAAGCAAAGATCTGCACTGAAAACAACTGTTGTGAGACTTACCTTTAATAATGCCTTTGAAGGCATCAAGTACAAACGTGATGGATATAAAAAGTGCAATTATTTCTTCTGTTGACCTGTGGAAAAATCCCAGGAATTAATATAAGCATTAGCAGAAACTGCATTCAACTCCATTCAAAGGAAAAAAATCAGCATATTCATGCATTTACATGAAATTATACCAATTTTAGTTAGACTCCACCTCAGGAAACAAAACCCAGTGAATCTTTAAAAGCTTCTTTCAAGCTGGAACAATAAGCTGAAATGATACTGTCCTCATCTCACAAAATACATTTTGCAGCAAGTTTGTAATTAAGGAGCTTGTGGAATGTATAATTTTTCCATTTGCTGAATAATCTGATCAAAATATGACTTCTTGAAAACAGCTACCTTTTAAAGAGCTTCATCAGAAGACTGAAATTAAAGAGGGAGTACATCACAAGGAAAAAGCTGTTCCACAGTCCAATCCAGGCATAGAAAGCACTGAAATCCAAGTTGTAGTCATCACAGATTCCTCGGATGACTGCAAAAAATTAAGTATTCATGTGTCAGGTTAAACTTTTGTCATTATCACCCCACGGTTCCCAGGTTCTTGATGGCAAAAGGAACCAATTTCAAGACTTCACCACAATGCACTTATGGCAGATAGCATTAAAACCCTATTCTTACAGTCCCACATGAACACGGGACCAACCCAAACAGTTCTCCTCTCTCCCCTTTCCTCCACTGGGAACAGGGAGAAGCACTGAAAAAATTTTCTCCCAACACAGGTCGAAGCATCTTTCCTAGAGACCAAGGCCACAAAATCAGCCCTCAGAATTTGCTCCCGCTGACATCTCAGGATGCTGTTGAGCAGGGGATCTCATAGGTGGTTTTGCACCATGTTTACTCATGCTGCATTGTAGACAAAATCTCATGTTTTAAATCTTTCAAGCTAGTCATAGCCCATCTGATTGTTCTTATAGATATCGAGTTTGCTCCCTTACATCTCGGGCTCAGTAAGATCAGCTTGCAGCTGTAACTGGAAACCTATTGATCACACCTTAAAAGACCAATAAAAAAACAAACAACAAAAACTTTGTCTCAGGCTCTTCAAGTTGGTTAAATGCAGCCATATGGGAAAATCATCAGATGAAAAAAATTTCCTCCTTAAAGCAGAAAAAATGCTTCTTCTCACAAAATATTTTTTCTATGCAAAGATGATTCCTTTAGAAACCAACTTTACCTAAATCTGAATCAAATTCCTCCCCTCTCTCTTAACACCAGAAGCAGCCCTTCGGTATTGATTTATTAAACGAATGCAACGAAGGCTCTAACAGGATTGCAAGGTTGTCATACAAAGTCTCATTTCACTGATCACCATCACATCAATCCCCTGATGTAACCATCTAATAGACTTACCATTAATGTAGAGTGCTAAAGGAGCCGTAGTTAGGAGTACAACCAGAGGTTGTCCCGAAAAGAGCGCGTAAAGCAGCCCTCCAATACCCTGGCCGACGATTGTCTTCTGCACATCTACAAATAATTACAAAAGATGGAAACAAACAAGCTATTTAACCAACATCTTTCTGATCAAGGAACATTCACAGGGCATAGAAGCCAACCACTAATGAATAAGAGCAACATTTTAGAGGGTATAGATGTAAGACACCGAAAGCAAGAAGTGACCCTTTGCCAGAACACTTTAATACTCATGATGCCATCAGGTTTCCAGATAGTGAACTGTGAAATTTTGGTGGGATTTTTTTGTTTGGTTTGGGGTTTCTTGGGTGGGTTGGGTGTTTTTTATTTTTTTAAGTTTAACTTTAAACAGCCATAGAAACATAACCAGTGTTTGTGGAGGCCTTCAGGACAAGACTTCAACCAAGGCTCCTATGAACTGTAACAGCAGTATGAACTGCTTCAGGGCTACACCTGGGGTAGAGCAAAGCATCATCCACTATACCCACAGTTTGGATACTGGCAACAAAATTCAGAACAAAGGCACAGGAGCTTGTACCAGGAAAAACGTGCACATAACTAGATAGATATCAAGTGAGCATCTTTTAAAAATAGTAGTATATCTGTATCAGTCCAAGCCAGATGATACTAACCAAAGTAGTATTCAATTTTTCTAGTCTGAGAAAGAGTTGTGAATGTAACAATTAAAAAAACCTTCAGTGGTGGTTTTTTTAAGTAAATAAAAACTATCAAAACTGTCCGTGACCAGAGCTACCCAGTTTGAATACATGGAATCCCATAACAGATGCACAACAAAACTGATAAACTTACCAATAGCTCCTCGGGTATTTTCATCATTGAGTGACCCAAATGCAATGGATGGAAGGAGGCAGGCAAAGTAGAGAAAGATCATAGTCGTGATGTATTTTCCTATAGCTTTGTTGTTTCCAATAACACCTGGTGTAAACCATTACGAAAGCCATGTTAGTTCTGCCCACTTGTAAAACAGTGAAACCCTACACAAATCAGCCATATATACCATTAGTTCTTTTCGTATTGAAAGGCAAAAGTAGAATTTCAGTCCACACTTTAGTCTTAAACATATAAGTAGGTCTTTAACATTTGTTTTTGCACAACCACTTTTTTGTTCACCTAGAACCAGAAGCACCAATATGCCACCAGACTGCTTCAGACATTTCTGGCATTGTCAAACCAGGAAACACTGGAAGCCTTTTGGTCAGTTTTGCCAACCCCAAAAGCTTCGAAGAGCATCAAAGCAGAAGCTGTAAGTTAGGGGTTCATAAACCCTCCACCCCTAGTCTTTTAATATGAACTTTATCGGTATTCTGGGCTATGCCCCTAATGAGCTCCATGGTAATCACTCGTCTTCACAACTCATAGACAGGAAAACATGAAGCACTTCATTTTTCCCTAGGCAGAAATCTGAGGTTATGGGCTTGAATCAATAATATTCTATGCTGAGCCAATTAGTGCTCGCAGACTTACAAAAAACAAATAGCACAAGAGGTCAGGAATGCGTACATTAAGAGTTTTGCCTTTAAAAAAAAAAGCCCTTCTAGAAGAATAGCTTCTTTCTTTTCTATCCCCTCACCCCTCTCTCATCTCCATCAGGAAAAAAACAAAAAACAACACAACAGACCAAAGCAAAAGTAGCCAGAAAGAAAACTAAAGTGTCATAATATGAATTTAAGGGCCTCTGAAGTCGCTTCCCTTCCCTTTCCTGTTTTCAGGCTGATGTCCATCCCCAGTGAGCTCATACCACACAAGAGAAAGGATGGGAGATGACAACAGCTGATAGTGCTCGAGAAGAATGTTTTTCCATAGAACAGCCTCTTCAGAGAGGATACACCAGAGAGGTATCAAAGAAAAACCTTGAAACAGCCTTCAGCCTGCCTGTGTCACCATCCTTGATGATGCTCCTGCTGCAAGGCACTTGGACAAGCTTGGAGTTGCCCAATTCTCCTTTCTGGAAGCCTCCTGAGCTGTAAACTCCCAATACAGGCACTGACCCCTAAGCTCCCAAATGCCCATCGAAGCCTTTCCTAGCATCAGTCCCTTCCTAGAGACAGCCGATGAGTTAAATCAGAGAAGGGAGGGATTTGCATTAAAGCTCGTTGGTGCAACACTGAGAAAATCTGGGCATTGCCACAATGGACTAACTGTATCCCTGGAATGAAAAGCAATCACTCAATGACTTTGGGATCTTATCTAATGTCTGCTTTCTGCACCATTTGTGGTGGAGAGATAAGGACAGAAGGAGGACGCAAAAACCCAAAATCAAAGATGGTGCATAATGATCAAGCAGCTGCATGAATAAAGGACACTTTGTGGTGGTTCCTGTTTGCAGACTTGAGAGGAACAGACATAAGTTGGACTTCTGATACTCAGCATCATTGAAAATAATTTTTTAAAAAGTCAGGGCTGAAACTTGACAGTAGACATCTCAAGCATGCAAATATGAGCCTGACCTTCCACAAGTCATAGGACCGGCTGTTTCAAGGCAGATTCCATTCAATTTATTGTGAAGATTCAGAAACCACAGACCACATTCCTGACTGCTCTTGGCCTGAAATTTACTTCTCACAGATTAAGTTCTCTCATGTGATCTCAAGTCCAACAGCTGCAGGCTCCCACCTCTCACTCAAGTGCCCGAGACCTTTAGAGAAAAGGAAAGACTTGGGAGGGTGAACAGTGGACCAAGTGGCACTTTTATAAGTAGAGATGGTCACATCCTTGTTCAGAGGACTCTGTGCCACTCCAGAATACCTTTGTTTGGACAAAGGAGTCTTTCCAATGTTAAAGGTCAGAGGCAACAATGCCTGAAAGCTTTGAAATAATTCATAAAAAGACAGGCAACTAGGACCAGAGAAGCAACTAATATTACAATGAAATGCTCATTTGTTCAGCAGAGAAAGCTATGTAAGTGATGAGGTGCCTCCTAAAAAAATTTCAGGTAGACATGAAGGGGCAGAAGAAAGGAAGATGCCTTGAAGAGCATCACAAAAGCTCATGCATGGCTTTTAGTTTCAGCTTCAACCCTTGCAAAGCAAGCAGCACGAGTCCTTGCTGATCAGGGAGGTCCTTATGCCACATCAAGGCTGGGTCCAAGTACGAAGTACAGCTTTTAGTCCGTAATCAGCCACACGAGATCCAAGGAGCAATGAATCCCTACTGGTGGGCAGCAGAAGTTACTTCATAATGGAGAGAATAGCTACATCAAATTAAACATAACCTTCCACAAACATGATTAATCACTCTAATTGCAGTTAAAATCATGAGCAAATAGTGCCTCCTTGTACAGATTCACCTGGGATAAGCACTAAAATCCAGCATTAATCACAATTTACCTTTTGCCTTTTTAAAGTCAACATCTGGCTAAACATTTTCAGGGTCTATTTGCAACCCAGGGACTGACATTACTTCATTTAAAAGAAGGTGGGCTGCATTATGATGGCATTTCATCTGCAGCAGGCTCATAGAGCCATTGAAAAATGTGTCACTCCAACTGCACAATGTAAATTTGTAGCAGAAAATCAACTCTTAGTCCAGCTGTGAAATTTGAGTGGCTATTACAGAAGCAATCCTTTGAAATTAAGGTACATCTACACATTTAAATGGGAAGCAATTATGTTCATCAACATGACAGTTTAATTTACTTGCTTGAATTTCTGAAATGTATTAGTTTTTAACAATGAGGTTAGAGTTTCAGAGAATATGGCAGCCTTGCTGGCCTCACTTTGCTTGGTATTCTGCATTAATAAGTGAGAGACCAGGACTAGAGCTCCTTAAGTCTACTAATTGTACATTTACGGAATCAAAATAGAGACAGGTGGACATTCTATGAAATGTCTATTAATGTTCTTTCCCAATTCTCTGAAATATCCAACACAAAGTTTAATTATACTGCAGCACAGCAGCATGGATGTGTCTATTAAAGCCCTGATATTAAAAAAAAAAAAAATCACCTTTCAATGGGAAAAACACACAGTAAGGATAGCTATTTGTAGGTTTTGAGCCATAAAATCTCCAAGCATTACAAACTTCTGCTAATGCCCTCAAGCTGGGCTGTCACTTATGTTAACACCTGCTGGACCCTGCCTGATTTTCTGAAGATGAATCTTCCCTAAAGTCCTCTGAAGAGTAAATCACAGTACAAGTGAGACTAAGAACTTAGCTGCCAAAGGAAATCCACTCCTACTGATTTTGGAACAGAGAAGCCAAGCACATACTCAGACTAGAGAGCTATGAAGAAACAAATCAAAGGCTCAGAACTTCCCCTTCTTCTCTTGATTCTTTCAGCCCATTTCCCACAACGTGCTGGAAAGGAAACATCCACAGACAAAACAAGATGCTTTTATGCATCTTTAATGCATTCCCTTCCACCACCGATGCAGAGAGACGCCAAAAGCATCACAGCTGCAAACCCAGGTCACGATGCCCCAAAGCATCCAACCAGTCAGTCTTAAACTTTTACACCAAGGTGATATTTAGGAATGAAGAGAGATGCAGAAGCTACCTCATCATCTAACCCGAGGCAGCAGAGGCGCTGAGGAAAGGGGAGAAAGCCTATCTACAGTCCCTTATATTTTTCTTCCTCCCTCAGGAATGCAATCCAGCCAAGCGAGGTGGCCAGTGCAACCAGCTGGGAGAGTCGATAAAGATTTGGCATGTGCCACAGCCAATCCAGTCAGTATTTTAGTGAGTTTAAACCCTGTGCTATCTTAGACAACCAGCAAGAAAAATCTTCCCTTTTTAAATCCCATTTTTTCTAGTGCCTTCAAGACTTCCTTCTAAGCACGCCTGCATTACAGGGAGCTTTGGAGACCTCCCTCCCCCAAAACACCACCATCAAATCCCAAGGATGCTGCCAGCTGATGCGCTCATGTTACTCAGGAGCTGGTTAGGGACCCTCTGCAGGACCAAGGACAGGGAGGAATCCACATCAGCTGAACTATCCACCCACCATGGCTGTGTGCTGAGGACACAGGTC